TATTAGAAGGTATTATGAAGAACAGTCACCAACCATTCAGGTTGTACAAGAACAGGGCACAGCAGCTGCTGAACTTTAAAGGCACAAACAGTCCTACCTTTAAAATTGTTGACAGACACAGCTGTATGGGTTCTACAATGGCCTTTAACAACAGAGAAACTGCAGTCATTAGAACAGCTGGTACAGGAGAAGCTAAATGATCAGAATATTGAAGAATCAATGAACCCTTGGAATTCTTTTGCATTTGTTATTAAAAAGAAATCTAGAAAACAGAGAATGGTAACAGATCTAAGAGCTGTTAGTAAGGTGGTTAAGCCAATGGACTCGCTACAGTCTGGAATTCCTTTGCCTTCTCTATTGCCTAGAGGATAGCCTCTTATAATTATTGATTTAAAAGGTTGTTTTTTCACTATACAAGAAAAAGATAGAGAAAAATTTTCCTTTACAGTGCCTACTTATAATGATTCTCAGCCTGTTAAGAGATATCAATGGAAGAGTCTCCCACAGGGAATGTTAAATAGCCCAGCCCTGTGCTAATATTTTGTAAGTCAGTCATTGGAAATGATACATAAGCAATTTCCTCAATCTATAATTTATCACTCTATGGATGACCTTTTAGGGACTGATTCAAATGTAGATACTTTAAAAAGAATGTTTGAAGAAGTAAAGAAAATTTTGCCTTGTTTGGAATTGCACCTAAAAGGAAGAGATTCTGTTAATTATTTAGGATATAAAATATATCCACAAAAAATTAGACCCCAAAAGGTACAAATTAGGAGAGATTTATTGCATACTCTTAATGACTTTCAAAGATTGTTAGAGACGTTTATAATCTATGGCCTACTATTGGTTTAATAGCTGACGAACTGAGAAATTTGTTCAAAACCTTAGACAGTGACAAGGACTTAAATAGTCCAAGAGAATTATCAGCTGAAGCTGACAGAGAATTGACTTTGGTGAAAAATAAATTACAGGATACCCATGCGAATTATTTGGATCCAAAGCTTCACTGCATTCTGGTTATTTCACCCTCTAAGCATTCTCCTATGGGATATTAATGCAGAGGAAGATAACATCTTAGAATAAATCTTCGCACCGCACAAACAGAGTTAAAATTAAAAACTCATGTGAAAAAAGTCTCTGAGTTTATTCTGAAAGGAAAAGTGAGACTTCGTCAATTAGCAAACATAGTTACAACAGAAATCACATCACCTGTTACTAATAACGAAATCTACAAATTATGGGCGGAATGTGAACCCTGGCAAAGACTTTAACAACAAATATCCCCAAAATAAGAGAATTCAACTTCTAAAGTGAACTACCTGGATTCTTCCTCACATTGTATGGGGGAAAAACTAATATCTAGAGCCCCTATATTCTATACTGATGTAAATAAAACAGGAAAGGAATGTTAAAATCAGAAGATTTAAGTAAAGTGGAATAAAACCCTTATGATTCTGTTCAAAAGTCAGAATTGTATGTTATTCTCAGTGTACTAATGGATTTTACAGAACTTTATAACATAGTTACCAATTCACAATATGCAGAGAGTTTTGCATATCGAAACTGCTGAATTTATACCAGATGATTCAGAACTGACTTTATTATTTATTCAGTTAGTAGAAATAATCAGGAATAGGAGGCATCCCATATATTTAACAAACTTCTGATCCCATACAGGTTTACCAGGTGCTCTAGCACGAGGTAATGAAGAAATTGATCAACTATTGATAGGAAACGTGCTAGAGGCCTCAGAATTTCATTAAAAGCATCATGTCAATAGCAAAGGTTTTAAAAAAAGACTTTCCCATCATGTGGCAACAAGACAAGGAGATTATAAGAAAATGTTTTACTTGTTCTTTATACAACCAAACACTACTACCTTCAGGAAGTAATCCAAAGGGTACTCAAAGGAATGAAATCTGGCAGATGTATATGTTCCATTTTGTAGAATTTGGAAAACTAAAATATGTACACCACACCATTGATATCTATTCAGGGTTTCAATGGGCAACTGCTTTGAATTTGGGAAAGGTTGATTCCATAATCAAGTGAACGTAACAGACATCTACAGAACATTTCACCCAAACACAATAGAATATACCTTCTTTCCTCACCTCAAGGGACCTTCTTTAAAACTGACAACATATTCGACCACAAAGCAAATCTCCACAGATACAAAAATAAGTGGAACAATCCCTTGTATCTTTTTGCTTGTTTGTTTGTTTTTGTTTTTTTGAGACAGGGTTTCTCTGTAGCTTTGGAGCCTGATCTGTAACTAGCTCTTGTAGACCAGGTTGGCCTCAAACTCACAGAGATCCACCTACCTCTGCCTCCTGAGTGTTGGAATTAAAGGTGTGCACCACCATTGCCCAGCTAAAACCCCCTGTATATTATCACATCACCATGGATTAAAGTTAGGATTCAACAACAACACAAATTACAGAAAGCCTACAAACTCATAGAAGCAACTTGCAACTGAATTATCACTGGGTCAAAGAAGAAATAGAGAAAGAGTTCCTAAAATTCAATGGTAGTGATCCCTACAGCCACAGCACTTAGAGGCAAAGGTAGGAAGATGGTAAGTTAAAATGGGGAGCTAGGGACATGGCTTAGTGGGTAAGAGCCCTTGTTGGGCAGACATGAGGCCCTGACTTCAAATCCCTGGGACTCACAACAAAAAAGCTGTGTGTAGCTGTTAAAGCTTGTAACCCCAGTGATGACAGAGGATCCCTGGAACTAGCTGGGTAAGGTGGAAGTGAGGCAACAGCTGCCCTCTTCTGGCCATAACATGCAAGTGCAGAGGCATGTGCACCAGCATACACAGGTGTGCACACAAGTGCCCAAGTGTGAACACACCAAAAAAACGCACGGCAAAAAGGAACAAGCAGCTTGAGGTCACAGAAACTTCCAGCACCAGGATGCAGACTTTTTTTCCTAGTCACTTAGGGGGCTGAGGCTGGGAGGATCATTGAAGCCAGCTGGGGCAACTTGACAAGCCAGGAGCTAAAACCAGAAAGTGCTGGTCTACTTTGCTCAAGGGCCAAGATTGAGAAGCAAAAGGAAACTGATTTAGCAGAAGGAAAACGCGAACAAAGATACAGAGGCGAGAAAATGCAGGGTCACTTGGGGGGTGCAAGTTGGTTGATAAATGTTTAGAGCTTCTTGTAGCCTAAGACATTAAGATGGGTGCAGAGCTCCCATTACCAAAGACAGAGCAAAGAGGTGCACTTAACCCTCTACCCCGGAGGAAGGAGAGAAGGCCGGTTGTGATGGAGAGAAGTCAAGTCTGAGGGGTACTGGGGTACGTCGGTGTTTGTGTCTTCATTCTCAGAGCCCTGAGAAGGGGACTCCTGGGTCATTGGTTCCTCCCACTGCTCATTGGGGTGAGGAGGTGACAACACAGGGGGACAGGGAGCCCGGATTTATTCCGCCAGTCACTGTCTGAACCTGGAAATCAGATTCTCTGCCAGAGTGGGGTTTGGCCCGCCATCTCTTCTCTTATCTGTTTCCTGGTCTCCCTGAGACTCTGCTAAGAGTTCAAGTAGAACCTCAGGAAGCCAAGGTCCAAAGTTAGGAAGGCTGTGTTTACCCACAGCGCCCCAACAAGATGTGGATGGATGTGGATGGGGCCCGGACCTTGCGTCTGCCCATTTGCTGCGGAGCCTGGGTGCTCTGGTGTGGGCAGAGCTGGTTCTCTTCTCAGGGTCCTATTAGCTCAGGAGCTCATTCAACATGAGGTCTGGAAGCACAGCCTGTCTGGGTTGCTGGGGTTCTGGGTCGGTGTGAACGACAAGGTTCTGGCAACTGGCTGTCACTGACACATGCGGAGAGCGAGCGGTGGGACCTCACTTGTGCAGGCAGAGTTCACCCTGGGCTGCTTGGTAGGTGGCAGCCGGAGTGACTCCATAGGAAAGTCTTGTTGGGCTAGCTCTCAACCAGGGGATGGCGGTTGGGACCACTGCCTGGAGACTGGAGAATCCAGGTACCTGAAATGGTGATGGCATGGCTTTGCTCCCAACTCGGAGTGCTTTGATGCTCCTAATCTCATCTGATACTTTGCAACATTTGCAAGACGATACTGAAGATCTTAAAAGTCACCGAAACCTTCATTTTAGTGCTAGAAAGAAAGTGTCCTTCCCAGGTGGTATGCCCAAAACCACAAACTGTGTTAAGAAAGGCAAGTGTTTCTGCACTCCCCACCAAGCACCCAATCCTGAGTTTTCCCAGACCGGTGCTGTACTCGTCCCCACTCGAACCTCAGCCCACTTCCATCTGAAATGTAACCGGGCTGGGTCCCCTTGCAGGGGAGACAGGGATTAAAACCCAGTGGCCCCTTCCTCCTCCGCAGACCCCTCGTCTCTACTCCGCGCCTCGCCTGGAGCGGAGGTTCGGAGCCCTACGCGAGAGGGGAGGGGGAAAATGGGCTTGTTTCTCGGGTGGCCAATCCACGAGCTCGCGGTGCCTCAGAGGAGGCGCCAGAGCTAGGCCGGCCCGGGGCTGTAGGCTTCCCGCGGCAAAGTACAAATGCACGGCGTCTGGCGCCCGAAGAGTGCACAGCGGCCTCGCTCAGCCTCCCCCGCGCCGCCGCCGAGGGTCCTGCAGTCCCATCGCGCCGCTGGCCAGTGCCAGAGTCCGCACCGCCGCGCCGCCAGCCAGCGCCACCCGAGCACCGAACCCTGAGAGCCACGCGCGCCCCTCAGACCCCGGTTCTCTAGCTAGCACCTTCTCCCTTTCTGCCATAGCTTTTCCCTCCTTCCGGACCTTCCTCTAACTCATCTCCCATCTCTCCATCTCTCTCCCTTTTTCTCCTTGTCCCCTTCCTACTGTCCTCTCATCCCCACCTGAGACCCCTCCTGTCCTTGGCTCCTCTTCCTCTTTGCTTCTCTGACTCCTTAGGCAGTGGTCCTACTTGGTCCTGGGGACTTACTTACATTCCTCTCAGAGTCTTACTTTCTCCCGGCTCATCCCGGGGTTGTCTGACCTTGGGGCAAGGAAGGATGGTTACCGGGGTGAGAATCTTCTCCTCTTTGCTGGGACTCGTGATGCTCTGGTTCCCCTTGGACTCGCAAGCCCGAGCCCGTAAGTAGAAACGAGGCAGAGTCTGGGCAGGCAGGGGAGGGATGGGGACCACTGGGATGTAGGGAGCCCTCGTTCGTAAATTCATTCAGCAGCACCTGCATAGCAGGAAGTCTGAGACCAATGTGGGCTGCTGAGTCTGGGGGAAGACAAGGGCTTGGCAAACTCCACGCGGGGTAGGGGAGATGCTGCCCTGCACAGGGCAGGTACTACACATTGTGGAAAGGAACTGTGTTCCCAGCAGCCCGGTGTGTCGCCGCAGGATAGGAGTGTGTGATGAAGAGATAAAGGTTGTTGTGTGGAAGAGCTCTTGGACAGAAAGATGAACAAAGCAGGGTGACCTTTCTAGTCCTTTTTCTTTCCGGATGCTCACAATATTGCAGGGAGGTGCCACCACTCACTTTTAACAGAGGAGTAAACGTAGCGGGGCAAAGAGGAGAAAGTTACCCGAACCATCCATAGCCGGGACTCTAATTCCAAAGCCTGCCTCGCAGTGCCTGGAAGGCTTCAGGACATGGTAAACTAGATGCGTGTTTTCATCTTCCCAGCCCCACTGAATACTATCCAGAGGGAGTCAGACGCGGAAAGAACCTCACTGTCTCTTTTCTAATCTATAAAATTTGAGACTCCTAAAACCGTTCTGAGTATTAAATGACGGAACATGCAGGGCAACTTGCAAAGTGATGTTTTGCGATGTAGCTTCCCCCGAAGAAAAATGCTTTCCTCTTCAAAAACAATGTAACCTCAAGCAGGTTATGTAGGCCCACAGCCCCCTTAAACTGGTAATCTCTTCTAAACTCCCTTAATAAAGAAACAGGGACCAACGAGGGGCAGTGGTTTGCTCCAGGCCGCAGGGACAGAGCCTAGCTTGAAGACCCCAGCTTCCTACCTCCTAGCTGAGAACCTTCCATCTCCACACAGCTCCACAGGTCAGCTCTGCTTCCCTCTCACTCCCAGTTTTGTGGAGCTGGTGAGGCTGGTTGCTGTCTTGTTTGTTCTTGTCTGAGGAAAGTTGCATGTCTGTCTGATGTTCCCTAGCCTACCAGAGGCTGGAGATTTGTGGATGTCCTCATGAACGGGAAACAGATTATTCAGAGTTGGGTTCAAGCCTTGACCCTGCCTCTTACACTGGTGTCCTGTGAGCCTCGGTTTCTTCATCTGCAAAGGAGAGCTACTAACCAGGGGTCTGAAAGGTTTGGGGAAGGATTCAAGGGAATAGCGCTTGCAGATGCCTAGCAAGATGCCAAATACTCAGTAAATGTCCTCGCTCCTTCCTTGAACCTTGAGGACTTTCTCCTCGTCTGCTTGCTTGTCCACCAAAAGAGACAGTCTCAGAGGACCTCTGTGCCTGCCCTGGCCTTGGCCTTGGCCTTGGCCCCACAGCTCCCTTCCCAATATCAGTGCCCTGGGAGGTCCACTCTGAGGATGACCCAGCAACTACTCGAAGCCTCTGCTACCCCACATGACCACCAGCCCTTCTGAGCTTTATAATCACCTTTGCCTGATGACCCCTCCCCCCAGGCCCCCGTGCCTCCACTGGCCTTCTAATCCATATCTGCCCCCAGGTCCCTCCATAGCCGTGTCAATACAAAGCTCCAGACACTCAAGAAAATGACCATCGTTTAGGTAACCTGGCATTAGGGGAGGAGCATTAAGATCCTGGCGTTATCAAGGCTGGGAGAGCTTTCTCTTCTGTGTCTAGCCATCAAATTACCTATCTTTAGAGTCAAGCTGAAAGGGGGAACTACTACCGAGCCATGGAAAAAGGAACAGAGACCTAGATCCTAACCCCAGCTCTGTCATGTATTGGTCACGTGTGTTGGGACACCTTCACCTGTCACTGAGCCTAAGGTTGATTGGTGCTCTTGGTCTGTGAATTTTGTCATCATTGCAAGTCTCCTGCCAGCATTCTGTCTTAAGGTTTCATATGAAAAGTCTTATCCTAGTGTAAGAGAGATCTCAAGCATGTGGTTGTGTGAAGTCCCCTGGTAACTCCAAAGTGCTTTTACAAATGGTGCTGACAGATGGGTGTTCTCGGGAGTGTGCAGGATGGACTTCTAAGGTGGTTACAGCTTGAAACATGGCTGGAGCCTGTGAGTGGGGGTTTTGGCACACTCTTTAGTTGAAGTCCAAGGCTGCTCATCAGAAGTTCTCTTTTTGGCTCTACCCACAGATCCAGACTGAATCTCAGATAGGCCATAAGCTGAGCCCTAACTGCCCAGCCTCACTCTGGGCTGTATCCCATTTTCACACAGGCTGGAGGCTCTGGCCTAGTTCTTCCTGTGCTGACCCAAGCCCCAGGTGGAGTCGTCACATCTGTGTGTGTGGTCATTCATCCCCTCTGTGACCCAGAAGTGGCCCCATTCTTTACTCCTCTCCAGTGCCTTCTCCAGCACATGCTTCTCTCTGCATTGTGTCCTTATGATTCATCTAGCTTCAGGCTTCTTGTCTATGCTGCTTTCGGGAGACTAGCTGATTACCAAGTAAGACATCAGCCCTCTGGAGTTTGTGTCTAATGGGAATTGGAGTTTCGGTTCCCAGGTGATGGATTCTCAGACCCCGGAAGAGGCCTGGACAGAAGGGTGGTTCCTCAGATGTGATGTGATTCCAAAGGCAAACTCACCCTCAGAATGTCAGGGTAGCAACACTTGCCCTTTCCCTGATGCCAAAATCTAACCTCAGGCACCGTGTCCTTCCCTGCCTCTGCCACCTGTGAGGTAAGATGCTTGCGCTTAGGTGACGTTTGAGGACCAGGGTAGCATTAACTGTCTGTCTTCATCCTAAGTCCACTTGACTTTGGGAGTGGGAGTTGGGAGAGTGTAGGTATTCTGCCCTGTGGGAAGGAATAAATGAGCAATTCCCAGGAAAACGTGCCTGGAAAGGTCTAGAGAAATATGTATCTGGAATACTTAGCAATGTGGAATCCTGCCCTGCTGTCCAGCTTGGTCACATCTCTATCCATCTGTCCAGATGTGCATGACCGGGTTGGGAGCAGGGAAGGGAAGACCCCGTGTCTGGGTCTCTAACCACAAGGTTCTGCACCTCCCTGCTCCCACCAGTAGAGGTCTCTGCCTCACTCACTGGCTCCAGGCAGCAAGCCCCGAGACAGCTGCGCAGTTGCTCCAGCTGTTGCACCTGTTCCAGGGCTGGCCTCTCAAGTTCCCTCAGCCGCCGGCCATGGCGCCGGCTCGGAGAAAAGGACCTTGAATATCTCGAACTCTCAAAGAGGAGGACCGATGTCAGAGCGGTGTCCCTGGGAGGTGCAGCACAACGATCAGGCGCCATCCTGGGCAGGACCCAAGCCTGTTGCCCATTCTTGTACTCGGGAATTCTTCGCTGTGTCTCTGTTGGGTTCTTTTGCTTGCAAGTTGAAGCCAGTCCTTCTGGTCCTGTCCCTTGGACAGGCATCTCTATAAACACCCCTTCCAGAGCTACGGAATAACTGTGAAGTCTTTGCTGGGAGAGATCTAGGATCTCTGGCAAGTCCTGATCCCTCCCTCACCGGGGTTCACTTTCTCTAGAATGAGGGGATTGGACATAGTCTGAGTCCTTAGCTTTCTAGGATTCTATGAATCTAAGTGTATATAACACACACACACATTTTTTTCAAGTGGAATAGAATGCGGACAGCTCTCTTTGATAGGTAATAAAGATGCCCTTCCTGGCTCAATGATTCTGCTCTTGGACGTCCTTCCACACTTCTAAATGTCTGCTGTGTCCAGATGAAGGGAGCTGGTTTCAGAGAAGCGTATCCCTTCTGCTGGCTTGCGCAGTTTGGCCACTGAGACATTTCTTGTAACTTCATTAGAGGCCCCCTTCCAGGAGAGCCAGAGCCCAGGGCAAGGCTTGTGTCTTAGAAGGAAGTGAGGGTGTCTGTGTGAATAAAATACGATTGTATGGGTAGAAATGGGACCCGGAGGCTTGCATTCCTGGGCAGTCTGGCTCACTGAGATTTTCTGAGTTCTTACTACAGTTCCAGCCCTCTCGCTCCCCTCCCTGAACCTCGTGGTGTATTTCCATGGCCCCCTCCAGCCTCCCCAGAAGCTGCTTTTTGGTTCGTTTCTGATTGCTATTGGAAGAGTCCTTAGGCACACCCTGCACGTTTGACTTGCCCCCATGGGACCTTTACCATTGCATGAATGTTTTGGATCAGACTGTGGGGTGCACTGGGAGGGGGACATATGAAGAATATTGACTTGCTCGTAAAGATCAGGGAGTTGGAACAGGAAAGGTGGCTTAGTGATTAAGAGCACTGGATGCTCTTCCAGAGGTCCTGAGTTCAATTTCCAGCACCCACATGGTGGCTACAACCATCTATAATAGGACCTGATGCCCTCTCTGGCATGCAGAATGCACATACATAAAACATAAATAAAATTTTAAAAAAGATCGGGGAGTCATCTTTGCCCTCAGCTGCCCCAAGCTTCTGACCTTTGGTTTGTCAGGTGGTTTTGGGAGTCAGTGGCCAGGAAGTGGAAGGGGCGGTGGAAGGTTAATTCCTGGGATGTGGCATAGTGTACATGTTGAAAGGGCTTTGTTCTTCCATGCAATGCTGCTGTTTTTTGTTGTTGCTAAGGAGAGAGGTTTCCAAGATTAAAGATCATCATCTGATCTCCCACTATAGCCGCACCCCCTCTTTTGGTTAAGCTCATCCACCCATGCATCCATTCATTCGGCAAGCACTAACTCCACACAGACTCTGCACCCGCCAGAGGGTCAACGCTCATTCCTCCCTCTTACACACTCTGGTATAGGAGACAGATCCACTCAGCAAGAGGGGATGGGACTGAAAACAGGGCCACCACAAATAGTAGTGGTAAAAATGTATCCAGAAGCCAGCTCAGGGACAGCCTGGTGGGTGACCTGGGGCCATCTGCAATCAGCCTGGAAAATATCACTGCCCTGAATTGAGACCAGATAAATTAAGGCAAGGAGTCTATGGAAAAGGTGCTTCCTGTGGGGGCTAGCACCCTTCAGAGCCCGCTCAGGGGTCCTCCTGTCCTAGCCATGGGCACTACAGCCTCTCTGTATTTGCAGGTGGCTCCAGATGCCTGGCAAGTCATTCTCCTCCCACTCCTTGTTTAACACCTCCAAGATCCTGCCTGGTGTCTCTGCACCCCTCCATGTGTGTGTGTGTCTGTGTGTGTGTGTGTGTCTGTGTACCTGTGTCTCTCTGTGCGTGTGCGCGTGTGTCTTTGTGTGTGTCTCTGTGTGTCCCTGTGTATGTGTCTATGTGTGTGTATGTGTGCATGTGTGTGTTTTTATGTGTGTGTGTCTGTGTACCTGTGTCTCTGTGTGGCTCTCTGTGTGTGTGCACGTGTGTCTTTGTGTGTGTATCTCTGTATATTTGTCATGAGTCTGTCTGTCTGGGTGCGTGCACGCGTGTGGCTCATGACTGGTTGTAAGACTTGAGTTGCAGAAGTTCCACAAATCAGGGAATGTCAGGAAGCTCTTTCCTGTTACTAATGAGAGTGATGCTCACTGCACATATGCCAAGTGCCCTGCCGTCACTGATATGTCATTCTCTGGCCCCTGCCCAGGAGCTACAACCACTGTGGTCCCTTGCTGTCACTCTGCTAACTTTTGCGCTGCCAAATGCCTCAGGCTACTGCGCTTGTTCCCAGCCTTGCAGGTGGTTCTGGGCCACCCGATGACATCACACGCACTCGAACCTCCATGCCCGCCTTGATTGCTCCTCTGCCCTCTCCATCCATATCCTGCCCTGCGGCTGCCCTTGGAACCAACAAACCTTTGCCCACCAAGCACAGTTGCTTCCCTTTAGGTCCTGCCACGGTACTCTCTCCCCAGAGTGACAGCCATAGCTCTTTCCTGGTCCCTCGCCCACTAGTCCTCCAATTGGCTTTCAACTCCCACGGCCCACGTTGATGATGCTTCTAAAATGCAGGTTTGATCATACCACCCTGCAACTCAGTTAATACTCGTCACAGGCGACCTTTGCCCTCTGGATCGCGAGCTTCCATCCCTCCTTCCCCAGCCGAGGCTCTCACCTGTTAGTCATCCCTCCCCATCTCTGCCCAACCTTCAGATCCGAGAGGGGCCGATGATATTAAGGGAGACAGGATGGCTTTTGAGTGAAGATATAAGGGCCCAGGAGCTTCATGAATGAGGAAACTTTGGAGCTATGACCTCTGGGGTATTATGATATTCATGGCTAGGAGGGGCTGGAGGCTGTCCTGAGAATTGTGGAAATAAATACCGCGAGAAATAGACCGTTAAGGAAGTGTAGAGCCAGCACCCATATCTGGGTTTTCTCAGTCTGGTCTTACACACTACTTAAATGAACATATATTGTAATCTGTGTCTGACAGTAAGCGTGGTGTGATTGGATCTGACTTAATCCTAGAATAGCCCCAAGTGCCACTGAACAGATGTGAAATTGGTTGTGGGATACTTAAGCAGCTTTACTCAACTTGGGCTTCAAATAAAAGCTAAGTCTATTATTTAAGCCCTGACCTCTGGGACTACAAAAGGTCCTAGAAATTAAGACCTGATTATTTCTAGATGGAGAGAGAGCTGGGCACAGGTGGACTGAATAAGAATGGTGATGGGGGAGAGGAGGCTGGGCTGGGGCCAGGAGGGGAGGCAGAAGGTTATGGAGGGCAAGGGGAGGGAGATATGAAGAGGACACTGCCTCCTTCTCGGTGGCACTTGGGACTCCCAGAACTTCATCCTAATCTACCTAGGAGGGCTTGAGAGCCTAGGGTGGATGCAGCCATCAGAACCTCCAAGGACTGTGGAATAGCCATCTCATAACCACAGCACCCAAAAAGCCCATCGGAAGCTTCACGATGTAATGAAATGTGGGCTTTTACAAGCGTGCAACTCTCAAATCTTGAATCTCAGAAACGTGATATTATGGATTCATAGACTGTACAGGAAACCTCTGGAGACCATAGCCTACCCCTGTATATCTTTCAAATAGGGAAACTGAGGCTCAGAAAAGGTGAGACATTTCTGAGTGTCACCTCATGTGTTTGCAGCTTCAGGAGTAAGCATTTGTGCCAACAGCCTTGTACAGGAGCCGGTGCTGGTGCCAGGGTCAGTGGAACCAGGGTGGCTGTGCTTGGCAGTTCACATGGCCTTGGGCACGCACCTCCCTAGAGGAAGAGCGCTCCAGGCACCATAGAGGGCATGGTAGGGTGGAGTCTGTGGCCACCAAAGGCCTCCTGCCAGGCCCCCCACAGGCTCAGCTTCTGCCAGGCCTGTTGGTGGCAGGGAGGAGCCCTGACTGAGTGGCTCCTGTCCTCACACTCTGAGCGGGCAGGGATGGGAAGGTGTGCCAACTGGCGCAGAAGCCCAGGGCTTTAGGACTGCCCCAAGAAAGGTAGGTCACAGTTTCTTCAGCAACTGACTGAGACCTAAGGTAGTCACGGTGTTGCAATCACCCCTCCCTTGTGGGGGGAGGGGACTGAGAAAGAAAGACATTATTCACTCCACGGAGAGTCAGACTGGCTCTAGCCAGCACCCCAGCTGGGCCTGTGTTCCACCCTCTGCCAGGGGAGGCTGGGAGATAAACATAGCTCATTTGATACGGGCAAGACAAGCCAGCCAGGAGTTGCTGGCTCGTGGGGGATAGGACCTGCTGTCTGGTGCCACCCTCCACAGTGGGTTGGTGGGAACAGGTAGGGAAGAAGCTAAGCTATATGTTCCTAAGGTCCTTTGTGACCCACCAGGGAGGAGGCTAAGTGGTATATACATTCCTAAGGTCCTTTGTGACCTACCAGGGAGGAGGCTAAGTGTATATTCCTAAGGTCCCCTGTGGCCCCCACAATGAGAAAGCTAAGCAAATATTACAGCAATTAATTCTCACACAATGTTTAGGAAATTGTTAACTTATTTTCTACACAGGGTCTGGTGTATCCCAGGTTGGTGTATCCCACGTAGTTGAGGATGGCCCTGAACTTCTTATCTTCCTTCCCCACCTTCAGAGTTCTGGAGCTACAGGCCTCTGCTGCCTTGCACTGAGGAAAAGATCAAATCCAAGGTTTTGTGTATGCTGGGCGAGCACCCTACCAACTGAGCTATATCATCAGCTCCCACTAAGTAACACATAAAACAGCACAGAGAATAAATGCAGGTTTCTTTCTCGATGTTTCAATATGGAGGCACTAAGCTCTGGCTGGACCTCCCCATGTCTTCTGAAAAGAAGAGCCCAAGTCATGGAGGTTTCCTATAGGAATGCCAATATTCATTTGGGACTGAAGAGCCCCAGGTGGCTGTATGGTTGGGAGCTGGCAGAGACAGGGCAAGAGACACAGTGAGCCCGGGTAGCCATATTGAAATGGGACGCCTGATCCTGGGCCAGCCAGGGGGTAGGGAGAACGTGAGGATGACAATGGTTGGTTAGAGATGAAAGGAGAGTGGAGGCTTTAGCAGAGCAGAGGAATAGGGGAGGTGGCTAGCCCATCTCAAACACAAGCCAGTATTTCAGTCATTCTGAGAAACAACCCACGTACCCATTAGCAACGGATACGCAGACAGCTAGGACGTCAAGTCAAGGAAGAAACAAAGATAATCTTTGTCTCGGTGTGTGTCGTGTTCATATCGAGTGTGTGCATGTGTGTGTGTGTGCAGATGTGTATGCATGGATGTGGAGGTCAGAGGTCGACATAGGTGTCTCCCTAGATCGCTCCCCCTTATGTATTGAGTCAGGATATGTCGCTTGAGCCCAGCACTTGCTGGTTCAACTAGTGGTGTGTCTTCTCGTCTAGCCAGCCAGATTTCTCCAAGGGCTCCCTGTCCTCTGCCTCCCCAACACTAGGATTCCAGGTAGGCTACCACACTTCAGGACATTCGACATGGGTGCTGATGATATGAACATAGTCCTCACATCTGTGAAGCCAGCTTTTCCCCACTAAACCATCCCCTTGGCTCACAAAGGTCTCTCTCTCTCTCTCTCTCTCTCTCTTTCTCTCGGTGCACGTGTGTGTGTGTGTGTGTGTGTAAGAGACAGACTGAGAGGAGAGGGAACAAGTGTGAGGAAGAAGCAGAGGAATAGTGAACACACTGAGAGCCAGGAGATCCAGGCTTTCAGCCTGCCTGGTGTGCTAACCGCTGTGTGGCTTTAGCATCTAATTTGTCCTTTCTGCACCTCATATTATCCACGATGCAATAGAACTACCATTTATACCACAGTTGTAGCTCCATAAAGCCTTTAATTGCCCGATCCCCTCACTGCCCTGTAAACTGCCAAGGCTCAGACAGGGGCAGCCACATGCCTGAGAACAAGTGTGTTGTCCAGCTGAGATTCCAACTCAGACATCCTGGGAGCAGGAATGCAGCAGGGTTTGGGGTTGGGATCTCCTGAGACTAACACCCCTCATTGCTTTGTCAGGCCCAGGCAAAGTCTGCCTTTTCGGTGAGAAGATATATACCCCTGGCCAGAGCTGGCACCCCTACCTGGAACCACAAGGCACGATATACTGTGTGCGATGTACCTGCACAGAGGTAGGTTCCTCTGGCCACTGGGTCACCTCTGCCAGGTGTGTCTGCAAGACCAGAGGGTGGAAGGACAGCCTGACCTAAGGTCCAGACACCCAGGAACTGTCGCCCTAAAGTGATGGTGTTGGGGGTGGCTGTGGCTCAGTGACTGAGTGGACTGAGGATCTGGTCTCTAGTCTAGTGTGTATTGGTGCCGGTCTCCACCCAGCCGAGCCAGAGCCTTCTGGCTTCTGTGACTTCTACTCCTTCCTTTCCAAGGAATCCCCTCCAGCCTGCCACCTAACCCTGTCTCCGCGTTCCTCCAGTTCAGGAATGTTCATTCTTCAGGCTTCGCCCTGTGCCTGGAGTAGCTCCTCCTGCACGAACACGCATGCTTCAGCCTCCTAACTACTGTCCACCCTGGTGTGCCTCTCTTGATGAGGTCCCCGAGAGTCTCACATCTAGCCAAAGGCTGAACCAAATGGAACAGAGGCCATGTCTCTGTTTGCATTTCTGTCTCCAGCTGTCCAGCTACTAATGGAAGCAGTCAGCCTTCCCTTACCACAATGCAGCACTTGAGAAAATAAACATAAAGAAGAAACGTTTGTCCACTTCACAGCTTTAGAGGTTCTTGTCCAAGGTCAATTGGTCTTGGTGTTCACTTTGTGGCCAGGAAGCCAAACAAAGAGGAAGAGGCCCAAGTCCCACGGTCCTCTTCAAGAGCATGCCCCCAGTGACCTACGGACTGCCCACAAAATCCCATATTCCAAACCTCTCAACACCTTCACCTTCGGGGTCATTCAACATCCAAATCATATCACCAACCCAGCACTTCCCTGGACCTTGCAGGAAACCAGTGCAATGCAGAATTCTCCAGGAAGGTGAGAGAACGGAAGGACAGGAGAAGCAGGGCGGAGGGGACACTCAGCCAGCAGGGCCCTGCTGAGGGCGTCTAGAACTCATTTTCTGGGTACTGCCGGGGTTTCTGGCTCTCAGACCCTCGGCACCCTATTCTCACACAGACCTAGAGAGGGAGGAAGCGGAAGTTCTAAGGCGTCCATGGTTAAGACAGAACCTCTAGGGGCAGAGAAGAGCCCCAAAGGGATCTAAGTGGGGAGCCAGGGACACAGCTCTTCTCTCTTCCTCACCGGGCTCACTCCTTCCTGGTCTTTCCCTCACTCTCCCTACCGTCCCACCATCTTAGCTCCAGGTAGAACTCAGGATCAGATAGGGATATAATTCCCCCAGGCGCCGGCTGCCTCGTTTTTTGTTTTTTGTTTTATTATCCTTAGCACATCGGAGGCCAATAAGCCATTTCAAAAAGAACTTTATGAAATATAGCCAGAAAACAGAAAGGAAACCATAATAGAAAATTCCAGACATGTCACGTGGTGTGGTTGACGAAGGCCAAGTTTTGTGATCGGCTGGAGCTTATTCCTGTCTGCTTCCCCAGAATTCACAAGTGTAGTTTCTTTCCCTCAGCCCAAAGGACTGCTGCATTTCCAACGTGCAGTCTGAATGCCTCCCGCTCTCTCCCCATTGCCCCTCTTCACCGTCTTCATCTCTCATCTGGACCACTGCATCAGCCCATCAGCAGGCCCCTCTGCTGCCCCTCTCAAAACTCATTCTCCACGAAGCAGCTCGCATGGCCTTTCCTGAACCCAGAACTATGGTGTTTCTTCCCCCTTAAAATCATCCAATCACTTATATTTGGACAGGGTCTCGCGTAGCCTAGACTAACCTCAAGTTATCTGAGGATGATCTAGAACTTCTGATCCTTCTGCCTCTACCTTGATGGTGCTGGGGTCATTGGCGTGTGCCGCTGTGCCTACTTCATGGGGTGGTAGGAATCGAACGCAGGGCTTCGTGCATGCTAGGCAAGCACTCTACCAGCCCAGCCCTCTAGCAGTTCCACAATACCAACACTCTCCTGATCTTCCAATTCCACACCCTCACACCCTGCTGCCACCACACCAGTCTGAACCTCCAACATTTGGTACATTCCCTCTATTCCCTCCCACTAGTCTTCCTCTAATTTCAGGGATGGCAGCTTTTCCCGTCCTGGTTCACAGTGAAGCTATCACCCCATTAGGAAGGTTTCTCACACAGTCTCTGGATCTGTCTTCTAATCACATCACCTGGTTTGGTCATGACCATAAACATAATACCTGAAGTTAGCTTGCCCTGCCTCTCAATGCCCTATGGTCTACCTCCAGCCACTAAGAAGCAGGCTTCTGAGAACAGATAGACTGTCCCTTATCCTGGTTGTGTGTTTATGCCCAGCATAAGCACTCAAGGTGTCTCAGCATCCCAGGCAGGCATGGACCCTGGTGATGGTGGTCAGCTGCTGTGTGGTCTCAGGCAGCCTCTGGGGGATTCTTCGCACCCTGTATGGATGCTAGTGTCTCTTAGGCTATTATTAAGGACAGGATGTGAGGTCATCTATATTTACACAGCCACTCCAAAAATGGTGAATCTGACCTTAAAGAGAATATCCCTCTGGCCACAAAGAGCCCTGTCTCATGCCATGTCTGTGCCCTTTTTAGCCCAGGCTGTCCCCCCACCTGATCCACTACTGCCTGCCGTTCACATTTCAGCAAGAGTCAAGAGAAAGATTCTAGCTCTTTAGATCACACATCCCTCAAATTTCACCTAGCTTCTCACCTCGCCCTCAGTTTACCCTCTTGAGGTTGATTGAGCTTCACAGGTAAGGTCACTGTTGAAACTCAAGCCATTTCTGACCAGTCCTTAGCATTCTCTCAGGCCGTCTTGGGAAGCAGGGACTCCAGAGAGACTTGGGCAGTCTAGGATCTTCCTTGGTGTAAGAGACTGTCTCTGGTAGAAGTTCTGTCCATAGGCCCTGCTGGGCAGAGGGGATAAAAGGGAGCTACATACTAGAGAGCTGGAGCCCACTTGGTCAAGTTAGGGTTTGATTGATGCTGGAACCATTGATTTGAGAGCCTCCATGACTGACCTGACTCACCAGGTCACCACTGGCTCACCCTTGTAGATTACAGTGGAGTCAGACCCCATGCCAACCACGCTTTGGAGTTCATGGCTGAACAGGAAAGACAGATGCAAACATACATCACAATGAGTCTGGCACAGGGGCAAGAACAAGAAGGTGTGAGGACACCGAAGAAGGGCTGAGAGACAGCCTGGAGCTCTGGGAAACCTCTGCTAGAGCCTATGGCCTCTATCTTGGCCTCTGTTCATCTCTTGCTATGTGTTTGTCTCATTCTTTTTCACCTGCTGAACTGGATGACTTGAAAAAACTTCAGATCCCTCCTTCTATGGTGCCAAGCCCAGGGGGTCTGTCCAGGGTTCCCCAGACCTCTTGGAGACTTGGATGATAAAGAACCAGTCCTGTCCTGGTCACTGTCCTCTTGTGTTACAGCTCTCCTATGAACACAAAGCTCAGGGTCAGTACTGTAAGAAAAACATCTTAGAGTTAAAAAGAGCCTGGACAGAGGACCAAGATCAATGCCCAGATACCTCAAGGCTTTTATTTCTATTTCTCATACCCACAAAGGGGTCATGAGGTCTATGCAAACCCATGACAGGTCCGTCCTCTGCATGGATGAAGTATGCAGATGAGTAGGCTAAGTGGGGTCGCTTGGTGGCAAAGTCGAGATGGGCTCATTGAGTTTGTTTTGGATTCTATTATACAGAGGCTGAAGAGAAAGCGGGGTTCTGCAGTCTGGGTGGATGTTTGGGGTGAGGACCCCTGTAGATGTAGGCAGTGACCACGTGTCTGTTTCAGAGCGGCCACGTGAATTGTTACCGCCTCCGCTGCCCGCCCCTCCGCTGCTCACAACCTGTGGTGGAGCCACAGCAGTGCTGCCCCAGGTGTGTGGGTAAGTAGTTCTTTTCCTACCATGGCCCTGAGCTCCGCACAGACCGGTTCACTCCTACTGTAAGCCCCTGACTGAGAGAAGCCTCCATAAGGAAAAGAGAGACCCCGTCCATCAGATGTGTGGGACACGTTCTGGACCCCCAAGCAGGCGAGGGTAGCAGATTTCTAGCTCCCAAACTGATGCACATTGTAGGAGATGAAAGCAGGCGGAGTAGAAATTGGGTGGATAAGATGGCTCAGCGGGCAGGGGAACCTGAGCTCCCCAAGATGAAAACCTAAGTCCAGTCCCTGGGACCCACATGGTAGGAGGAGAAAAATCAACTCAGAAGTTTATCCTCTGTCTGTCAATCACATGCCAAAGCTTGCACCCCTTCCCCCAGAATAAAAAAAATGTAGTAAAAATGTAAAGTTAAGGGGGCTGGAGAGATGGCTCAGTGGTTAAGAACATTACCTGCTCTCCCAAAAGTTCTGAGTTCAATTCCCAGCAACCACATGGTGGCTCACAACCATCTGTAATGGGGTCTGATGCCCTCTTCTGGCCTGCAGACATACACACAGACAGAATATTGTATACATAATGATTAAATATTTAAAAAATGTAAAGTTAAAGAAAGAAAGAGTAGAAACTGGCTGAAGGAGACTAGAATGACTTGGCATGCTGACTCCACATTTGGGCTCCAGTCCCTCTGGTTATGCAGAAGGGGAGAAAATGAAGATGAAGGACTTGGGGCTGGCTGGCCCCTGTATGCACGCATGCATGGTGTCTTTCTCTACCTCAGATTGTGAACCTGTAGGTGGCAGGGCCAAGTCTTGGTCATCACTCTGTTCCTGATTTTGGCCTAGGGTCTTAGTGAAGGTATTGTGAGGGAATGAGAAGGGTGTCCCAGGACGGGTAACCATCCCTCCGCCCAGCAGAATGAGGAGTAGATATTGGCCTTGGTGGCCACTGAATGACAAAAGTTTATTCCAAGCACCTGGATGGTGGAGAGCATCACACCTGATCCTGTAAGACTAACTCTGCGAGGGTGGGAATTCGGTGTTCTCCAACCCTGTTTCTTGGGCCACACTCATGGGCCTCAGACACTGAAAGGTGGCTGAGCTGCAGTGGAGGGAGACATGTGGTTAGATGTAGGTATCAGGGGGAACTCTTAGGCCAGACCTTAGTAATGCGGGGGGGGGGGGGGGGGGAGAACACAAAATCTTCAGAAAAGTGGTCTTCCTAATTCTGGAAAAAATCTTAAATCTATGAAATTTAATTTCCTTCTTCCCCTTCTCTCCCACCTGCAGATCCTCATGTTCCCTCTGGGCTTCGGGTTCCCCTAAAGTCCTGCCGGCTCAATGAGACCACATACCAACACGGAGAGATCTTCAGTGCGCAGGAGCTGGTCCCCACCCGCCTGTCCAGCCAGTGTGTCCTCTGTAGCTGTATTGTAAGACCTTCTACAGTCTCTGGCCCAAGCCAGTGTCTCTCCTACAGAGAGGGATGGGGTGGGCCATTAAGCGATAATAAGAAAGGTTGACGGGAAGGGAACACCCAGGGTCCACAATGCCCTGCCCCTAGTTTGTTGAGGTGACCTTTCTCTGGGTTTCACACCTGATTCCCAAATAATGAGAGTAGCTCATGTCTGCTTCCCCCAGTGAACACTGTACCCCTTTGAGGGGAGGGAATGTGCCCATCTTTTTTCTGTGTCTTCTCTTGCTCAATGTCCAGGACCTGGCATGTAGAAGATGCCAGTGGTTATTGCAGAATGATGAAGGAAGGGAGGGAAGGGAGGGAGGGAGGGAGGGAGGGAGGGAGGGGGGAAGGAGGAAGGAAAGAAGAAAGGGAGGAAGGAAGGAAAGAAGGGAGGGAGGGAAGAAGGAAGGAAGAAAGGGAGGGGGAAGGAGGAAGGAAAGAAGGAAGGGAGGGAAGGAGGAAGGAAAGAAGGGAGGGAGAAAAGGAGGGAGGGAAGGGAGGGAGAAAAGGAGGGAGGGAAGGGAGGGAGAAAAGGAGGGAGGGAGGAAGAAATGAAAGAAGGGAGAGAGGGGAGGGAGGGAAGAAGGAAAGAAGGGAGGGAGGGAGGGAGGGAAGAAGGAAGGAAGAAAGGGAGGGGGAAGGAGGAAGGAAAGAAGGAAGGGAGGGAAGGAGGAAGGAAGGAAGGGAGGGAGAAAAGGAGGGAGGGAGAAAAGGAGGGAGGGAGAAAAGGAGGGAGGGAGAAAAGGAGGGAGGGAGAAAAGGAGGGAGGGAAGGGAGGGAGGGAGGAAGGGAGGGAGGAAGAAATGAAAGAAGGGAGAGAGGGGAGGGAGGGAAGGGAAGGAGGAAGGAAAGAAGGAAGGGAGGGAAGGAGGAAGGAAAGAAGGGAGGGAGAAAAGGAGGGAGGGAGAAAAGGAGGGAAGGGAGGGAGGGAGGAAGAAATGAAAGAAGGGAGAGAGGGGAGGGAGGGAGGGAGGGAGGGAGGGAGGGAGGGAGGGAAGGAGGAAGACCATTCAACAGTCTTGGGACACAGATGGGGTTTAGTCTGAAGTGCCTAGGCTCTCCCTGCCCGTGGTCAAGGCCTAGGGACAGCAGGGTTGGCAGCCCTGTAACTGGGGGACAGAGTGAAGCCAGCATGTCCTGCCTGAGGAAGTCTTCATCTTCTTGCTTGGGAGAGTCCTGCCGCTCCCTTCCTGTCATGCATGCTGTCCCTCCAACTCCAGGCTCGGCTTCCCTTTCTCCTAACTCCCTATCACCAAACCTCTCCTGACTCCTTCGGGGAGTCGGTTGCAGTGATCTTTAGCCTCAGTGAACTGTGCATAAACTCAGCTCGGCCCTGGTCTTGTGTGACTTTTCCTGAAGAGACTTGGACAAACATCTGTTCACCACAGACGGGACACCAAGTCTAACTTAGTACATCCTGTTCAGATAAGCAACAAGAACTCGGAGCAGTAAAATAGCTTGCTTATGGCTGTGTGGTCAACACGGTCAAAATCTAGACCCAGACCTCTCTGACTCCCAAAGTCCGTGTTCTTTTCCTAGTAGGGTGCTGCTTCCCGTAAAGGGGAGTCCTGCATTAGGACCAGGCTGTGGGAGGATGCAGAAGTGGTGGTGGATGAGAGGATGCTCTAGCGGTCCCTTTGCCCATCCTTTCTGGAGGCTCTGCTCGCCTCTTTCACCTCATCCCTGTTTATGGCTCTGGCTTGTGTTCTGACCTCCCCTCTGGGGCAGGATCCTTACTTCTCAGACTACAGGAACACAGGGTCTTATAGCAGCTTTTCCCAGTCATACTCACAGCTGATCTTCACAACCCAAATGAGTGTGTTCACTGCCTTTCATAGAAGGTGAAACTCGGGAGAAAAGACTTCTCCAAAGGTGCCCAGCCTCCTGCCTCCTTGAGGCTCCTACATCCTGGAGTCTCACCTTTGAGAGTGGGTCTTGAAGTTCAAGGTCAATGGTTTTCTGCAAGACCGTTATAAGCCTAGGAGTCACCCATGTAGTCCTGTCCCTTGCTGGGTCCCTGATGCAGGCCCAGGAGAAAGATACTGATTTCAGTAGGAAAAGCCCAAAGCCTGGGCTCTGCTTCCTTCTACTCTTTCTCTTTGACTGGATGACACAGTTCCTCCCTCTTTCCCGGGTCCCCCCTCATCTTGACACCCATCTCACAGGTGCCTGTGAGAGCTGAGGGAATCATGGTGATTAAGTTCTTTTCACGGCTTGGAGAGGGAAAAGGAGGTCAAGGGGAAACTCCTGAGCTGACTTACCTTGCTCAGGAACCACACACTCCTTCCCTCCATCCTCTACTTCAGGGGTGACCTCAAGGCTGTTTGTGCCCAGGGAAAGAGGCTCTCCTGGGGCCCAAGGTTGTTCTTCAACAGAGTTCATTTCCAATCTGGTGTGTTCTGTCTGTCAGGAAGGACACACCTACTGCGGTCTCATGACCTGCCCTGAACCTGGCTGCCCCACTCCACTCCCTCTGCCTGACTCCTGCTGTCAGACCCGCAAAGGTGAGTGTCACAGTGAGCTTTGTCAACTTGATACAGCCTACAGCCCTCAGGGAGGAAAGCCTTAACTGAGGGATTGCCTATAGCACACTGTCTGGTGGGGTATCTATGGGAAATTGTCTTGTTAATTGATGTAGGAGGGCTAGCCCACTATGGGCAGCACCATCCCCTAGGCAAATGGTCCCTCCTGGGCTAGCTAAGTCAAGCAAGCCAGCAGGCAGTGTTCTCCCACGGTTTCTCCTTCCACTTCCCACTTGAGCTCCTGTATTGACTTCCCTCGCTGAAGCACTGTAACTTATAAGCTGAAATAAGCCCTTTCTTTCCCTAAATTGTTTTTGGTGAGAGTGCTTTATCCCAGCAATTAACTGGAACTGTGACTCTGAAGTCTGCCAGGGTCCCACATCATCCCCCTTTGTGGACCTGCAGGAAGAGACAGGGACAGCCAGCATGAAGTAGACACTCCTGTCCTACAGGGAGGTGATGGCTTGGCATGGATGTCCCAGAAAGCAGGACCCATGCGTAACATTGTGCTATACCTATTCGGTCACTTCAGTACCAGGAAGCACAGGCAAAGCAAAGTAAAAGTCTGGGGGTGAGAGAAGCAGAGGGAAAAGTTTATTCTCCCGCCTTGTCAACTCCCATCAGCCAATGCTCACATCAATAGCCCTCATTAAAGCCCCTCACTTCTGCAGTGTGGATATTGGGCAGCCCTGGGAGCAGCCGGCGGGGGGGGGGGGGGCGCTTGGCAGGGGACATGGATTGGAGGCACTGCTGGGGTAAAGCTGAGAGCAACTGGCTGCTGGGGGCAGAAGTGGTACCACTGCAGAGCCTGTTGTGAAGAGATCCTGTCCCCACCAAAAGGCTAAAAGGCACAAAGTAGCAGCTGGGAGCGGGTGAGCTCAGAGGCCACAGGATTGGACTCCTGGGGTAAACTGAGGCTGGCATGTCTGCTCCTGAAGAGCAGACTGGGCTTGAACAGAGGTATACGATTGGACTGTCCATGTGGACTGGGGAACCTCAGACACTGGGGTCTGGGAAGGTGTAGTTCTGTGTGGGCATTCTTAATCCATGTCAGCTGGGAGGTGAGCAGGGAGGCTGGCTCAGCAACTCTAGCAGGCAGCCTGATTCTACTCCCTGCCTCTCTGAAGCAGGAACATTCAAGACAAACCAGATCACGGGTGTAGTGAATGAAGCAAGGACTTGAGAAAGAGAGTGGCGCCAAGCTTCAGGAAGCTTCAGGGCTCTCTCTGTGTACTGGTTCCCCAAAAATAGCAGCTAGAAGTGGCCTCGGGGTTCCCCTGGCAGCAGAGGGACTAGACAGTAGAGCCCTGGAAGTGTGTCGTGACTTTTAAGTCGCCTATGTAAGATGCTCTGACGTAGCTGAGCAGTTGGGTCCCTGGAGTGACTCGGTCAGTGTTGGGGAACTGAGGAAGCATCCTGGCTGTGGAGATGTCTGATAACTCAGTAACAACGAAGACAAGCTGCCTAGAGACGTTTGGGCCCCTCTAAGGTAACCTGTGGGTTAGGTCTACAGGTGTGGCTTTTAGGAAGGCAGAGCTATGGATGGAGGCTTTGGTGCCATGGCCACCAGGGTGACCCCATTTCCTTTGCAGACAGAACAAGTGAGAGTTCCACTGAAGAAGATTTGGCGCAGTTGCAGCCTGGAGAGGTGAGTGTGCACACAGTTGTGCAGACCTGGTGGAGAGAGATGCTGCAGTCCCAGGCCAAAAGCCTGCGTGACCCTCAGCACTGGCTACCTGCTCCTGATCCTGTATCTCTCTGTCCACCCTAACTCCAAGGCCTGAGAGCTTCACTCTGGGTCAGCTACATTGGCACCTCCAAGTTCCAGCCTCTCTCCCTACCTGTCATTAGGGCCCCCATTATGGCTGACGGGTCACAAGGGAACAGCTTGCCACACAAAGCAGGGTAAACCCCAGACTCCCTCATTTGCCTCTGGGGAATCTGGCTGGCACTGTTCTATCCACAGCCTGTGTGTGTCAGATCAACCCAAGCCGCTGAGGAATGGCCTCTGGCTTGGTCCGTGCTTCTGGGCCTCATTTCTAGGATGCGGTGTCTTTGCCAGGGATCTGCCTTTCTGCTCTCACCTCCATCCTGGCTCCTGCCAATCTTGCCTAGAATTCAGATGACCCAGGCTTCCCAGACCTCAGAGGTCTGAGATGGGAGAGTGACCACAGCCCGACGCAGGTCCCCTTACAGTTCCTTGGTGAAAACTCCTATTCTTTCAGCCTGGGCTCCAGGAGCCTAGGACAGCCCAAGCTGGACTTCTGACCTTTTCTGCACAGCCAAGGCATCTATGTGCCTTTGCCAGGCTGATTTCTCAGGAGGGCACACAAACCTGAGCCTTTTGATCTGCTCCTTCCCGCTTGTCCCTAGAAGTCAGTGTGTGGGGCCTGCAGGTTAGTGGAGACCCTGAGCCACTCTTTCCACACTGAGTGACCTGGGCTTGGACCAGTCGGGAGCTGCAACTGGAGCTTGCCTCCTCTCCACTGAGCCAGCATCTTCTGGGCTCAGGCCTACACTGGGGCCTGGGGTGTTTCTATTCTGCAGTCTGTCTCTGGGCCATGAAAGAGACAGTGTGGAGTGGGAGCAGATTGTAGAAGGCAGGATAAGCGGCTCATGGACAAGAACAGGCTCTTCTTGTTCTTTTGTTTCACGCCCAGCCCTGCTATTCCTGTTCTGTGACCTGGAGCCCAGTCCCCAAACTGAGCTGCAGAGAACCTGCCCCATAAACTGCCATCCCCACCCTCACTTAATTCTCTAACCCTACTAGATCTGGTGTGGAGGGGCAGGGGGTGGGAGTAGAACCTGGGAGTGAGGGCAGAGGGGTGGGAATAGGGTCTGGGAGTGAGAGCAGAGGGGTGGGAATAGGGTCTGGGAGTGAGGGCAGAGGGGTGGGAATAGGGTCTGGGAGTGAGAGCAGAGGGGTGGGAATAGGGTCTGGGAGTGAGAGCAGAGGGGTGGGAATAGGGTCTGGGAGTGAGGGCAGATGGGTGGGAATAGGGTCTGGGAGTGAGGGCAGAGGGGTGGGAATAGGGTCTGGGAGTGAGGGCAGAGGGGTGGGAATAGGGTCTGGGAGTGAGGGCAGAGGGGTGGGAATAGGGTCTGGGAGTGAGGGCAGAGGGGTGGGAATAGGGTCTGGGAGTGAGGGCAGAGGGGTGGGAATAGGGTCTGGGAGTGAGGGCAGAGGGGAGGGAATAGGGTCTGGGAGTGAGAGCAGAGGGGTGGGAATAGGGTCTGGGAGTGAGGGCAGAGGGATGGGAATAGGGTCTGGGAGTGAGGGCAGAGGGGTGGGAATAGGGTCTGGGAGTGAGGGCAGAGGGGTGGGAATAGGGTCTGGGAGTGAGGGCAGAGGGGTGGGAATAGGGTCTGGGAGTGAGGGCAGAGGGGTGGGAATAGGGTCTGGGAGTGAGGGCAGAGGGGTGGGAATAGGGTCTGGGAGTGAGGGCAGAGGGGTGGGAATAGGGTCTGGGAGTGAGGACAGAGGGAAGGGAATAAGGCCTAGGACTTCCTGGGATCTTCAGAGGCCCACTCTGTTGTCTCATCATCTGAATTTTCCTAAGCAATAAGTTGTCTCTATTCCTGATCCCATATTGCTCTTCCTGCACATCTACAGCAGCCCCAAGGTCTGGAGAAGGCTCTGGTGGAGGCTGGTTTGCCAAATCCTTGTCAGTGTGTTCATTGATTAGTCTGAGAATGTCTTCTCTCTCACCCAGATGGTTCTGTGTGAAACCCACGCAGATCCTGCTCTCTCTCTCCCTCTTTCTCTCTCTCTCCCCTTTCTTCTCCCTTTCTCTCTCTCTTTCTCTCCCCCCTCTCTCTCCCTTCCCCTTTCCCTCTCCTTTCCTCTCCCTATTTTCTTCCCTCCCTCCCCTCCCCCCCCTCACTGTGGCACGTCCCACTCAGACACCCTGCCTGCTGGTTGCAGAGACAGGATCTGCACTCGGAGGAGGGAAAGAGGGGAGTCCCCAGCACTCCAGCACCGACAAGCCTCAGTTTCCCTCTGGGCTTCATCCCTCGCTACTTCCGACCCATGGGAACGGGTAGCACCACTGTCAAGATTATTCTGAAGGAGAAGCATAAGAAAGGTGAGTCTAGGACCCTCCTCCCATCTGCTGATGGGGTAGGGACCCCTCCTTCCTGTACCCCCTACTCTGGTTCTCCAATCTCAATCTGACCGTGAGCTTAAACTCAAAACCAAACACAACTAAATGTACCCCTGAAGATTATGGACCCTAATTCCCATTTAGCAGATGAGAACACTGAGGTGCCCAAGTACTGCATCAGGGAAAGAATCAGTGGCCTTGAACTTCAGACCCTCCCATCTCAGCCTCCTAAGTAACAGTATCTTACTGCGCTTCTATTATGTCTTTATTGAGAAGTGGAGGAGAAAGAACAGAGTCCATCCTAGGCTCTGCCCCAGTGAGCTCCCAGACTAGTTGGGGACACACATGAATAAATGACCATGACACAGGGCTGAAGAAAAGACTGTCAAATAAAGGAGGGGCAGAGCTGGTCTGCAGGGTGACAGTGGGGACAGGGAAGGAGCACTGGCTGCAGAAGGAGAGAACAGGGGTTCCCAGTAGGTCTCCGAGGCCGGCAGAGAGGGGTGAGTCATGGGGCTACAGAGTCCCGACAGGGAGGGGAAGTGAACCTGCTAGAGCGCCCATGCCAGGTCTGAGAGTTGTCCTTGGCTCTCTGATTGTCAGGCCAGCACTCTCCTTTCCCCACCAGAAGAACCTCAGAGGCCAGGGGAGGGCTCAGCCCTGAGGGATGTTGGGGTTGGTACAGATTTTGTTCCCTGGCTAGCATTTTGCAGGCAATGTAGCTGGTGTGCACTTGGCACCCTCTACCTTTTGGGGCACTCACCCTCCCTGCTTCCTCCCTGATCTCCATGTTCCAGCCTGCACCCACAACGGGAAGACATACTCCCACGGGGAGGTGTGGCACCCTACTGTGCTCTCCTTCGGCCCCATGCCCTGCATCCTGTGCACCTGTGTGGATGGCGAGCAGGACTGCCATCGTGTGACCTGCCCCACCCAATATCCCTGCAGTCAGCCCAAGAAGATGGCTGGGAAGTGCTGCAAGATCTGCCCAGGTAGGAGGGGTGCTGAAGGCAGGGGAGGCACTGGCCATAGGTACTGGGACGGAGGAGCAGTTTACAGGCGCCCAGATTGCTAGAAGCACAGACACAGAAAATACCAGGCTACGTAGAACCACCTAGCATGTCAGTGGGAACCTCAGCGGTTCCTGACATAGATGTGAAGTCAAATGATGTTTTGCATTCTTTGAAGCCATGAAGTATTAGAACGTGGGACACTTTGAAATAGTCAATGTTGGTTGAATACATCAAACTTTTTTTTTTCTCTTTTAGATGAGGCAGATGCCGACCACAGTGAGGTCATTTCCACCAAGTGTCCCAAGGTGCCAGGCCAGGTGTCTGTGTACACGTTGGTCTCTCCAAGCCCAGACGGTCTGCACCGCTTTGTCCTGGAGCATGAAGCCTCTGACCAGGTGGAGACCTACATCTGGAAGCTAGTAAAAGGTGCGTGGCCAGCTCCTGCTCCCAGCTTCATATTCCTCTGGTATCTTCCTGCCCTCAGAACCAATAGGGGCCTTAAGGAGGTTTTCCTGATCAGATGCCTCAGCATCCTTCCAGGAGTAAGAACCCCTAATTTCATTCCCATTTCTGCTCCTCTGCAATTTCTGATAGCTCTGATAAGCTCGCCAAGGTCTCTGAATGGTTCCCCCTCCTGGTCATGGTGGGTTACTGCACCCTTTGAGGAGTCGGCCTTAAAATTATAAACTCTACATGGTGAGATTGAAGTGTTGAACCATGATCCAAAGCCTGGAGAAAAGAAGATTCAGTGGGTGGGCTGCCCTGTCAGAGGAAACAGCTTTTCTCTGAATGACTGCACAGGTCAGACCACAAGCAGAGGCTATGCAACCAGGCAGACCTGGGTTCAAATCTCACCTCTGCTACTTCAAATCCTGCCTCTTCTCAATGACCTCAGGCAGTCACTTAGCCTCTCTGGACCTCAGTGCTCTCTTCTGTGAACCAGGGAAAGGTGCTTTGGGATAATTCCTGACCTATGGAATGTGGCAAAAATATCCATCTCCTCCTACCACACCAGCTGGTTAGAATGGCAGAGAGGTGGGCTTCTATTCAGTAAGGGGACGCACTTGTCATCCTCACAGCCTTCCTATGGTGAGAGGAAGGTGTGGAGAGGACCATGGGAGAGGCAGAAGGAGGGATTCTTGCCGTTGTTCTGTACCTACAGATCACACTGTTTCCCAGACTGGTGCTGGCTACAGCTAGCTCTCAGACCACCCACACAGCAGGTGCTGAGACAGCAGAAAGCAGTAAGCCCCCATCCTTGCAACAGTTGCTTATAGGAAGGCTTCCTGGAGGGTAGACCTTTGCAACAGAGGGAAGCCCGGGACCTTGGAGAAGTCACAGAGACTTTGCAAGTAGGAGAACAGCTGCCCTGGTGCTCTGTGATCTGCATGCTGCAGACACCAGGTGCAAAGTACCCCATTTAATCCTCACAAGCATCTTCATGGTATGTAAGCACCTTCCGGCCTCATTTTCTAGGTAAGAAAACTAAGTCTGGAAGACTAGGGTGTAGCTTAGTCACCAGAATGCTCGCCTTGGACACAGGAAGCCCTGAGTTCAATTCTCAGAACAGTATAAACCAGACACGGTGGCAGACACCAGAAGTGGAATCAGACTTTCAAGGTCACTGTCTGAGAACGTCCTGGGCTACGTAGACCCAGGCAAAGGAAGGAAGGGCAGACTCGGTCTGGAAGACAACATGGACTTGCCAAAGCCTGAGGGACGTGCCTGAGAAAGACCAGGAGGGCCAGGATGACAGAGAGACTGGAGAGGGGACTGACTTCCTGTCTCATCATCACCAGACCCAGCGTTAGAGAAATGAGGGGGGCACTTCAGCCCCACCATGCTAGGCCCTACTGTCCTGTCCCTAGCAGTGCTCCCCATTTCCTGCACCCCTGGGTCACCTAAATGTTCCACAATTCCCTCCCTGCCCCAGACGGTCTCACCTAGGGCTCATTATCAGGACTGCAGTTTCCTCCCTCGGAGGGATGGAAACAAGTGAGCAGTGGTCACTGAACCTGCTGCAAGGCCACTCCTTCTAGGACCAGCCCAGGGCTGTGAGATTCTGGACTTTCCTGGTAGAGTAGACTTCAGGGGCCTCAAAGAACTTCCCCTAACCTCATGATGGTCCCTGATCCCTGCCCCACCCCCCGTGCAGGTGCCTAGAACATCTTGGTCCAGAGAAGTTTGGCTTCACTGTGATCTGGACTGGCCTAGTGCCTGGAACTCACTCCGCAGCACCAGCTCCACCTAGGGGGCCGCCACGAGCTCATCTGAGCTCAGATGTGACATGGCCTTTCAAAAAGGCAAGGCACATTTGAGACCCCAGTCCCCAAAGCATCTTCTTCTCCATATGCCCTGCAGACCATGGTGGATGGTCCCTCCCATCTGTCACGCCCGTCTCTCCTCCCATGTTTTTTTCTGTGAGCAATGCAGGAGGGCCCATCCTCATCCCACAGAAGTTCTTTCTTGCCACTCATATGGTCCCTGGGCCTTTGGAGCTCTTTGCTATATCTTGGCATCTAAGCCAGAGCTCCAAGGATAGTGCTGGCTATTTCCCAGTTCCTGAAACGCAGGCTCCATGTTTGAGTTTTCCATTCCCCTTCATGGGGTTCCCCTCTGATCCCTGGGTACAGATCTGGTTCTTGGTGTCCCCCAAGGCCGTGCTGGCCTAGCTGAGGCCTTGCTGGATTCATTTTTTCTCTCTGGCCAGAGGCTGGGTAACAGCCAGTGCCATCTCACAACCATCTATTCAGCTAGTCAGACACCCTACACCTGTCTATCCATCACCCTTACGTCTTTCCATCCACCTACCCATCTATCTGTCCATCTATTTATCCATCAAGACACTCATCTATTCATCCCTACCCCCACACCATTTATCCATCCATCCATTTATACATACACATATACATGCACCCCACACCCATCTACCCATCTATCCATTCATTCATCCTCCTGGCCCCTGTTCATTCAATACATACACATAGGCATGCATGCATCCATCTGCTCATCCATCCATTCATACATACACATATACATGCACACGGCCACCCATCCATCCACCCACCCCACACCCATCTACCCATCTATCCATTCATTCATCCTCCTGGACACCTGTTTTTATTCATATATACACATAGGCATGCATACATTCACCCATCCATCCTTCTATCCAAGGAATAATATATCCTACGTGTTTCACGCTCAGAACCCAGAGAGTTAAGTTCTCAAGAATTCCAAGTCTGAGAGAGAAGGCAGGAATAGGCATAATGACAGCACCATAGAAATGGGGGGGGGGATTGGTCTGGGAAGACAACTCAGTTGGTAAAGGGCTTGCTTTAAAAGCATGAGAACCTGAGTTCAGTCCCCGGAAGGTGTGTAAAAATGCCGGGTGTAATGGCACACACTTGTAATCACAGCACTAGGGAAGTGGAGACGGGAGGATCCCAGCCACACCAGCCTACCTGGTGAGCTCCAGGCCAACGAAAAGCCCTGCCACAAAGGATGAAGGCAACGTTACTGAGGATGGTACCCAAGGTTGTCTGTCATCTGTCTTCCACGTTCATGTACATACATGTGTACACATATCCCCCCACCCCATATAGACACTTTTCAAAAGAAATGGGTAAAATGATAAACAGAACCCAACTGTGATAGGTCCTGCATAGAGGGGGCTAAAATCCCCTTCACGGAGGATCAGGGAAGCCTTCCCACTAAGACCTGGTAGACGGGCGCTTGCTTCACTTGCTGTGCACAGTGGGTGTAGAAAACAATGTCAAAAGGGCTGGAATTTGCAAAGGCTTGGTTTCCTCCTAGGACCTCAAGTATTGGCTAGGGCTGGGCCACACTCACGACACAATAGCTCCATCTTCTGTGATGTCTGAATGAAAACAGCTATGGATTTTTATCATATGCTGTAAGCTAGAGGAAGGCTTGGCTGGTCCACATGATCAACCTTTTCTTACTGTCTCTCTCATTCCTCCCTCCTCCCCTTCCCTCCCCCTCGTTCCCTTCACTGTGGGCAGGCATGTGGATGGTGGCAGGAGCAGCAGCAGAGAAAAGAGGGGAAAGGATACATGCTTTATTTACTGTGGTGGTGGCAGGCGGTCAGAGATGCCAGCATATTTCAAATGGTCATCATTAGGATTTCTGGTTAAGAGGGGCTAGGACACTCGTGTGGTGACTGAGGAGGAGGACAGGGACCCTGCAGATTTGGTGTCTGGTCAGACTGGAGGCAGGGAGGGAGGTGGCAGGGTGAGTTGTGAGCTGTCACCCCATCCGATCTGCCTAGCTCACGTCTTGTCTGCCCACAGGAATCTTCCACTTGGTTCAAATCAAGAGAGTCAGGAAGCAAGATTTCCAGAAAGAAGCTCAGAACTTCCGGTTACTCACTGGCACCCATGAAGGTGGGACCTTGGTCTAGGAATCGGGCCAAGGAGGGGAGCAGAGACAAAGCAGAGGACCTCTTGGGGAGTTCCCAGGATGCTAGTGTCAGGAGAGGGGGTGGGCTGTCAGCCACAGACGTCAGTTCCCAGCATAGGAATCCAGTGGGTGTCTGGGCCAGAGATTTCTCAATCCCTAAATGAGAGAGAGAAGGTGAGCTTAAGCAGCTGGCCTTGTCTTGGCTCGGTAGGGTCAGGTCTGATCCCCCAAGCCCTGCTGCTTCCCATGCCTCTAGACCAATGGTTCTTAACTTGTGGGTCACCCTCCCTTGGGGGTCGGTCACATATCAGGTATTTACATGACCATTCAAAACAGCGGCAAAACTACAGCTATGAAGTAGTAACAAAATAATTGTATGGTTGTGGGGTCACCGCAACATGAGCGACTGTATTAAAGGGTCTGCATTAGGAAGGTTGAACCACTGCTCTAGGCTGTCACTTCCCAACAAAGGGTCCTTCTAACCACTTTTCCTGACTCTCTGATTTGGTCTGCATTACTTCAAGAAGATGGACCTGGATGGGGTTTTTGGAAAAGGGGGAGTAGCAGGTCAGGTAATAGATAAAACATTACCCACAGGAATGGAGTCAGGAAACCCAGCCCTTAAATGCAGGGCGTCTCAAGGCTGACCATAGCCCACAGTCTTCCCTGCTCCAGGCATTAACATCCAGTTGCTGTCACTGTTGTACACATGCTTGTGAGCGAACACAGTCACACACGGTCACACACACCCCTTGTCTCTTCTGCCTCTCTTCTCGCAGGTTACTGGACCATCTTCCTAGCCCAGACTCCAGAGCTGAAAGTCACAGCCAGCCCAGACAAAGCGACCAAGACATTATAACCAGGACCTAAACAGTTGCAGATATGAGATTTATTGTTTTTGTTATTGTATATTAATAAAGAGGTTGCATTACTCCCTAGCCTTGCCTGTTGACTCCACCGCCCACTTCCTCGATTCTAGGCAGATCGAGGCCTTCATCTTGAATTCAGAAGGTGCACAGAGGGCCCGCAGCTTTCCGTCAGCAACATGAACAGGTCTGGCAGCCTCCTTGTACCCTTACTCTTAGGCCCCTGGCAGGCTGCTTTTACAGGTAGCACCTCCACCCCTCCAGCAGTTACATCGGCTGAGCCTAGGAGAGGAACTTAGTTAGCCAAGTGGTGGTGATTGCAGCCTCAAAATCCTTCCCCGGGGCCTGGGGCCTTGTGTGGCCAGCCAGCCCTACTTCAGGGAACCTGAGTTTGGAGGAAAGCTGGAGCTAACATACCTGGAGGCACAGAGGGGGTAGTAGCTGTCCCAGAACTGGAAGCCAGGACTCTGACTCCAGGCTAGCATCCCCCCCTATTCTTGCGGCCACATGAGCGGCCTCACCTCCAAAAGGATCCAAGACTGCAGTCAGATTGCCAAGTTGGCCCGTTGTCTGCAGAGGCCTAACCCGTGCAGTGAAAGACAAATCAACCATTTATCCTGCCCACGTGTGTAAGTGCTCGCGATGTCAGATATGCTTTATGGCCTGTGACTTCATTTACGTCAAACAACGTAGGATTTACCGCCCTCGCCCCCCTGACTCTGGAGAGGCCTCCAGGCTCGAGGAAGGCAGTCTTCCCCAGAGCCTCACAGGGTAGCCAGGCTGAGACATCCACAGCCCCAGCTCTCCACTCTCCCTATCCAGGTCAGGTTGAAGGCAGTGAAGAGACAGTGGGCAGAGGCCTGTTGACAGCATCTGTGTGCGGCCACCTAGAGAACCCACCCTGCTGTCTCTGCAGCCTGGGTTTCTACCACACTGTCCCCAAGATCTGGGAGATCTAAGCAGCCTCCAATGCCACCTTGACTGGGAATCACCTTCCTTGAGCTCCCATTGCCAGTTCTGGAAGGACAGGCTGCAGAGTCTGGGGTTAGAAAAACCTGTCCCTCCTAATGGATAAACTTAATTCAGGCTAGCTTGCTCACCACAGGGACTTAATCTGGCAACTCTAAGGGAGGGTTCTGAGCAATTCAGAAACCTAGTAGCCCAGCCATTTATAGCGTGGGCTCTGAGCATCTCCCCAGAAGTCTTTGCTGAAGATGTCAGCTCCACCCTTGCCCCACCCCTCTTCCCCATTACCGGGCTGCAGGTAGACTTTGCAGTCCTAGGTTTCCAGACAGGAATGGGTCCCCAGTGTACTCTTCCTGATGTGGCAGGACAAGATGTCTCCCCGATTTCTTTAGTAGGCTTATGAAGTCTGTGATGTGTGCCCTAAGCCTGGTTACCCCCATGGGGGTGGGGGGCTCTGTTTATACATCCAGCCCTCCTTGCTTCAGTCTTTTCTATTTGAGCAAACGCTCATTTTGAGCAACACCAAACTGCCCCATGATTTCACACGCTTTCTGAGCCACTCCGGGGGAAGCTTTACACTAGACCAATGACATGGAGCAAGGAACTGATGTTGCCCTTCCCAAGTCTGGAGGAAGAGATCAACAACAGTGAGGTGAAGAGGTGACATCATGGTATCTGAGTGACGATGACGGAGATAAAGGCAGGACTTCGGGGGGCACAGTCCACAACCCCAACTGAGGACCCTTATACAGGCTCTGAAGGATGGGAAAGAGGTGGAGAAATAGTGGATGGAGGGAGAGAGGAAGGTGGGTAATGATATAGGAGCAGAAAACTCTGTAGATGAGAGAAGCAGATGACAAGGAGAATCACAATCGTTCACCCGTGCTGGACAGTGTTGGGCAGTGAGCAGACGGAGGTGAGGCTGTCTTCCAGCTGAGAGGCTCTGACTTCACCCCAAGAGACACTCTGTGATTTAGAGGCTGCCTCTACCTGCTGCAGAAGAATGACCTGGAAGAGCTGGGCTGAAGCCAGGGAGGAATGGTATAGAAAATGTTCACGAAAGGCTTGGGAAGGAGAGAGGCCACAGGGAAGGCGGGGTGGACTGACTGGGAGGAGAATTGAGAGAGAGGAATCTCACCAGATAGCTTCTAGAAGACATATGCACACACACACACCCGCAGACACACACACCTGGCATCTGAGAATATAACCATAGCATTCTGGGTATATTATAGGTTACCAGAAGAAGGTTGGGCTAGAGATAGAAGCTGGAAGCTGTTGACTTATAGATGGTGACCAAAGCCAGGAGGGGAGGGATCCTGGCGTGGGGGAGCTTGTAGAACATAGAGCATCTTGCAAGGGAATGACTGGGGAGATCAGAGAGAAGGCAAGAGACTCGCCACGAAGAGGATGAATAGGTGAGGCCTTGAAAGAGCCCTCTGAAGAGCCAAGGACAACCTTGTGACCACGACAACCATTTGTGTCAGTTGAGAAGCAGAAGCTGAGTTTGGGGGACATGAGGACGTGTCTGGGAAGCGAGGAAACAGACTTTTAGCAAATTTAGCAGTAAGAAGAGACAGGGAGACTGGCTAGCTATGCATATGGGATGGAAGGTGTTTCGGATGAGAGGGAACCCAGCCAGTCTGGGTAACAAGAAGATCCCAGGAAGAGGGAAAAGAGAAGAAAGGAGATCTGAGGACGGAGAGATGAATATTCAAAGATGATCGTCTTTTTTGGCTACAAACCCACTGTGGTACCCTGACTCCTCTCACATGAGGCTGCTGAGGAAGAAGAAAATGACAGTCTTGGGGACTCTCCGAGGCTCCCACAGGGGACCCCAGGGATCTACTGTCCTGCCTGAGGTCAGTGATACCTACTCCACCATCCTAGTATATTCAAATCCATCACCTTCTCTGCTCCCAGAAGACCCCAGTGAGGTGGGGATTACTACTCACGTCTCACAGGTGAGGAAATGAAGACCCATAGAATGAATGAAAAAAAGAGGAATAAAAGGAGGAGAGTGGATTCCAACTGGGGTCGATGACACTGTGATCGTGTGGCCCTCAAAGCACTGAGTGCCCAGCAGACCTGAGCTCAGAGCCTACATTTCACTTTCCAACCTAGGCACCCTCCCGGCCCCAGAGCTGGTTCATTCACTGTGGTGCTTGGGGCTGGTTCCTCCTCCTCTTCCACCTCTCCCCATCCCTTCAGGGGATACTGGGCTCTGGGAAATGGTGGTCTTTCTGAGAATCAGGATGTGGCCTGTAGTTTGAAGCTGCCTTTAAGGTGAGGGAAGGCCTGGGGCCACACTGGCACAATGGCTTTCTCTCTAGCACTGGCTCTGAACCCACCTTGCCTCAGCCTGGTGTCTGGAAAGCACCCCCGCCTGACTTCTCAGAGTCTTGTATGGGAGACAGGAGAAGACTGGGAATTGCGATCAGGTGTGGCCGAGGCTGGCTGGGGCTGTGTGGGTCTCTGAGTGGATGCCCTTCTCTGCACAGGGAAGCCTTCTAGAAAGAAACCTTGGGTCTGGACCTCTGCTCTGGGCTGGTGTAATGACCACATGGGTCCAATCTCACTCTCAGGCTCACTGATCCCACTCTATCGCAGAACACACGATATGCCTGAAGTCAAACACCAATGAGCCCACTCAGAGGCTGTGACTGAAGATTCTGGTTATTACAACCTGCTCACAGCTCCCTGCCACCAACTTTCCCTTCCTACTTCATCCCTGCTAGAAAGTCCTGCCTAGCAGCCCGGGTGGCCTTTCCGAGTCACCAGTTCTCCCCCATTAAAGTTGTCTTTCCGGGACTTTCCACAGCCCTTGGGTAACACCAAAGCCCTCCATCATGACTCTTCTTGATGTCTTCTGCTACCTCTTCAACAGAATCTCCTTGTTTGCCCTCCCAACAGCACCCCACGGTCCAGGCTACAAGTCTGCTGGGGCCAGCGAATGGAAGTGGTGATTTGAATGAGAATGGCCCCCATAGGCTCAAATACGCGAATACTTAGTTCTCAGGTATTGGGAACTGTTTGGGAAGAATTAGGAGGTGTGACCTTGTTTTAGGAGATATACAAGTGGGAGTGGGCTTTGAGGTTTCAAAAGTCCATGCCAGGCCCTCTTCTCTCCCCCCCCCCCATGTCTCCCTGTCTGCCGCCAAGATGCTTCCTGCCATGATGATCATGGACTAACGCTCTGAAACTGTAAGCCCCCAATTAAATGCTTTCTTTTATGAGAGCTGCCCTGGTCATGGTCTCTTCACAGCGATATAATAATAACTAAGGCACCTCCCCCCATCCTTCCTGCTGCCCAGACGTTGTATTCTTCCATAATATAACTTATTCTATACAGCAAAGATCTACTACCGCGCAGTGGGCCTCTGATGCAACCATATAGTCTCTGTGCACCCAGCCTGTGTTCCACAGGAGGCACTCAATATACAAGAGGGAGACAAGACAATAGCAGCGAAATTAAGGGCAGTGGGAGGGGCTTGAAGGGGCATATCATAGGTGCTCAATAAACGTTTGCTGAGACCACAAATCATCACTACCATTGTTTCCCGGTATCACTGCCACCTTCTCCACCAGGACCTCACATTTATGGGGCCCGGGCAAGAATTCAAACAGAGTCTGTGTATCTCAAATATTTAAAACTTGAGAGTCACACTAACAAATCATTCCACAAAATATTCCTTTTTGGCCTTGAAGGCCAACTTCAAATTCAAAGTTTAGTGACTTCTCCAAATTCCTTGGTAGCACAGGAAAGAACCAAGAATTGATCCTTGGCTCTTCCTCCCCCTCCCTTCTGCTGTTCCTTTATTTTTTGTCGGGAGGAGAGGTATCCCAGGCTGGCCTTGAACTCACAATCCTCCCATCTCCTCCCAAGTGCCAAGACTGCACATGTATCACCATTTTTGGGTCCTTTTCCTTCTTATTCTAGCTCTGTTCACAGGGGTAGCCATCCTGGCCTGCAACCTGCGACATCTCTAGAATAACTCCACAGATATTTCTCTCCCCACACTGGCCATGTAGCCCTTCTGCTCCCT